GGAAAGAGAAAAACAACAAGAAAACACTTCCCCTTACCCGTAGATAGTTCATAAGGTCCCTAAGAGCTGGGATCCTCTTCTGCTCCATCAAAGACTTCAGTGATGTGATTATTGGGATGATGTTTTCTACGAAGTTCTTCTTTTGAACCTTTGTTTGAACAAGGCATGAACAGTTAACTCGATGCAATAAAGGAGAAGCCACACCGTGGTTAGACGAGTGACCTAAGTAAGAGGAGTTACCACTCTATAGCAAGGGAATTGCTGCAATTAAGCTTGCTCTTATGCTGCACCCGTGTTCATAGGCTTTTAACCTAAGTAGAGTCTTTTAAGACACATCACTAAGTCAGTCAGTTCTCACATGGAAGGCGAATTGCCAAAAGGCATACCAAAACACATTGTTACGCTCACATGCTTTACCAATAAGAGATCTGTGCAACTCATTTAGCCTAGCATAGCTTCACTGACTTCAGAGGAAAATGAATTTCTGATCACTCCAGCTGACCCCTCAAGTACAAGCAACCTTCACAAACCTAGCCTTAATGTTTTGTTTTCTCAACATGCAGTGCTTCCACAGGTGCCCTCAGATCTTCGTGGACCTACAGAGCCTGAATAACAGCCTACAGGCACAGTATGGCATCGGCGCCGCTATGTTACTGCGATAATTTTTCCACAAGTTTCTCCGCCGCAGAAAGGTAAAATTCCTTCCAGTACAGTGGCCAGCCCTCTTCCCACACCACACCAAGGGCTGTTCACCTGTGAGATGAGCTTTTTTTGTGCTGCCTGCATGACAGCGTTGGCCATTGCCATTTCATCTTCATCAGGCTGAATGTCTTCATCGGGTTTTGATCTCATAGTCGAAAGCTTGATTTCTTTGCAGCTAAGGACTGCAAATGTATCCGAGAGCAGCTCACTGGCTTCCAGGTCCAATGGAAGGACCTTATCCACAAAGCATGCTGGAACACATGCGGAAGAAATAGGTATTTCACTGGAAACAGCAGTGCCAGTAAAGACAGTTAGATAACACGGCTGGATTGAGAGCCTAATGGTTTTATATAGGCACAAGTTCTTTGTCTGCCAGATTTTTTAAAGACAGACCCTCACCTAGGATGCTGTGGCTGATCTTCGTTGTAATGCTGAACCTCTGCTCATCTGTAAAGTGGTCTAGCAGGAACTTGTAGATACGCATCCTTTTTTCTTTGTTGTCTTTTCCCTTCAGAGAGAAGAGATCCTTTGCCCTGTGGTAAAGCAAGGCATTTTACAAGGGCCCAGCCACATTATGCGAACTCACAGAAATAATAGGACTTTAAATCAGCAAGGAGTATTTGTATGTCACTTTCAAGACCCATAAACATGCTAGGATACCACACGCTCCCATGAATTGCATGCAGAAGTCCTCTCAGAAGTGTCACAGGGAAGGCAGGACACTAAATTTAACAGTTTCCCCTAGCTGTTTCCCCTCTCCTGCATACATTAATTATAAGTGCCATGAGCACTTGGCTGCATGGTCAGACAGCCCATCATTTAGCAACAGGAGACACGAATGTGCTCAACTGACCGCGTGCTCTGGGGGAACCTGTTGTACTTCTCGTGTTTCTCATAGCTATTGAAATGGAAGATGCACTCAATGAAGTGTTGGGAGAACATTGTGGGATTCCTCTTCAGCAAGAGATGTACCAAGCAGAACTCTCCAAACCTGGAAAGGAAGAAAAGAACCAACTTAGCTTCTAAAAGCCACCCCTGAAACACGGTGTAGAGTCACAAGCCATAAATCAGGAGGATGGTTTTCCTCTGCCAAGTCTCCCTCAATACCACATTTAATTTTTGCCCAACTCCATCTGGGCTTGAACAAGGACTTTAAGCCTTTTTTCGTCCAGAAAGAGATGTTTTCGGCATCCACAATACTACTTTATTTTTTTTGCCATTAAAATAAACAAACAGAAATAAATTTGAACTTGAATCCAGGCACAGAAGTTCCATTATTTCAATAACATCAGTTCCACTGTGGCTGAGACACTTACGGTACTTTGCAAAAAGTTAATCACCAAAAGTTCTGCGAGAGCTGCAAGTCGATTCTAGACCTGAAGAACGTGGTTTTGTCTGGAGGCAGTCACTGAATGCAGATGCAAAGAAAAGGGCTCCCAGAGAAATAGCACCATGTTCGCTAGCTAAAGCTCTGGGAACATGATGTTGCAATGTCACCATCTACTGGAAAGACATTTTTACATATTAAAAACTCGCTGAAGAGAAAAGAAAGTGTGAATATGCCCTAGTAGGCAATGATAGGTTGATGGCCCTGGAAGCACCAATCTTCAGATGGACTGTTTCAGGCAGAAGCAAGTAGCAAGCTGTCAAAGCCTCCTCTGCATCCAGCATCCCTGCACAATCTACCGTCTGTAGAGGAACCTGCCCCACTCATTTCTCACACAACAGAGCAGTTTGAGACTTTGAAACCTACAAAAATTTTATAAAGATGCACTTAAAGCCAGTGTGCATAATTCCTCTTACACGTCAAAGTATTACAAAATGTGGTAGAAGGTTTAAAAAAACAAGGCATGCCATGTAAGAAAAAAGAGAATATTTAATCCCATTCCTAAAACTAAACCAGTACTCAAGACAGAGCCTATTAGAAAACCATGAGAGAGATTTCATAAAGGCTTGTTTCAAAAATTCCTTATTTTCTGGATAACTGAGAGTCAAAAAATAGAGCAGAGCTGCATGTTTTGAAGACAGCCAAGAACACACAGCTCGCTACCGTGAGACCTTCAACTGACTTGGAAAGAGGTTCACCACTCCTTCGCTACCACTGCAGGCCCTAAAGCATGAACAACTGTAGGAGCAAAGAGATTAACGGGAGAATCATCTGCTCTCTCACTGAAATTTTCCTCCACATGTTGAAGGTTCCTTCGTTATTGACTATGTTACCTGGCAATATCTGGATTTGGATCCACCAAGACACTGATGAAACGGAAGAAGAGACAGTCTTTCCATTTCACAAACTCCTCCTGTAAGAAATTGGCAGACAATAAATTACCCACCCAAATCAGGAAAAACCTAGTGAACCTTCAGTCTGTAGTCAGGACAACATCTGATGGAGCTTAGCAGAATGTACATCAGGCAAATGAGCAAGCAGTACAACTTCAGCTGGAGGTATACAAAATAAACCTCAAGCAGACAATTCCTAGAGGGTGTTTTAAACAGCATAAATGCCACAGCAGCAAGCATCTAGGTTTACCATGAGTATGAATAAAAAAGCAGAACCATGAAAAATCTGTTCTCCCATACCAAGGCCCTTCCACACTGTTCTCAGAGCCAAATGCACTCCAAATCTGGTTTGGTTGGATTCATATGAACACTGGGAGGGTGAACATCTTCAGCCTCTCAACATTTCCATCTTTACAACAATCAGCAGAGACAGTAGGAGAAAAAGGTGCTGTGATGCTTGTTATATTCATTCATATAGGAGTGAAATAGAAGGGAATTCAAAGAAACCAAGGGAAGACAAGAAAAGAGGAAACCATTGACTAAAAACAATCTCATTATCCCACTGTGCTAAATGTCCTTGATATGATTTCTGCCTGGCTAGCAAAACAAAGCGATAACAAAAGACATAGTTTAAAGTCTTCTTGTAAGTGTAGATTAATCGAGGTACAAGCAATCCACCCACTGGTCAGGCTACCAGTACACAACAGAGGTACTTCCAGTGGGTTGTCAGATACATGCTTAGGACCTCTGTTTACCTGCAGAAGGTTGGTAAGCATGATCAGCGTCTGCTTACGGATGAAGGGATCCGGGTCCTTCAGACACAAGGAAACGTTGGGAATGTATCTGTCCACCATGGATGTGTAGCGGATACACAGATCACACATAACGATGACGACATTATTGCGAACAGCCACATCGTGTGACACCTCCAGTTCTCGAGCTAAAGCTGCAATGCATTTCTTTGCCAGATCCTCATGCTGTAAACACAATTTACCTGTGAAACAGGGACGAGACTGTCAGTGCTGTGAATATAGTCTTCTTCCCAACCACCACAGCCCAGCTTACTGCCTCCTTTGAGCCCAGTGTGAGCCAAGAAAGGAATCAGGAAGTAAACAGAGGAATAAACAAGATGCTTGATGAGCAATCTGCATGATGTCTCAAAGAAATGATACTTCAAGGAGTTCTTTCAAACTCCTCTTAGACCTATAGTGTGGGTCTCTATGCCAAATTCCCTCCTGCACAGAGAACTATTTCCGTGTACAGGGTATTATTCAAAGCAGCTAAAAAGAACAGCCCCAGCTGTCATAAGCATAGCAGGGAGACACCCACCTCTAACAGCATCACTAAACCAACTTAAAATAAAATAGCCTGCATTGTAACATTACTTCTCCCTAACTGTTCATAAGTTCTGTACAAAAGTATTAAGCTTCCCAAAGCAGTTAAGGAAAGAATACCACTATCTATCTGCAAGAGAAGAGACTTCTTCCTAACCACAGAGGTACTACAAAACCAGAACTTTCACTTAGTACTCTCCATAATACTGGAGATGCAGAGTTGACCAGGCTTCTACCAAAACAGCTCTTTGTTCTTACTGAGGACAACAACTAGCTACGTGCAGTCATTCTGCTCTAATCTGCACCAAAAGCACCAAGTTTTCTTCATCCTCTGTTGAGCACCTTACTACAGGTAAGATGATCCTTCAGCCAGACAGCAACCAACTGTGAGCAGAAGTACAGTACAATTCTGAAGGACGTTGCTAATTATTTATCACTATTAAGACATTAACCACCTTGAGAAGCAGTCACATAGACGGCAGCATTTTTATGCTTCATGCAACTAGTTACCATGGATATTGGCGATGCTAAAAGCTATGAGCTGAGGCAATGCAAACACTGAGAGCTGTGGCTATCCGTTACGACTGACACAGCTTTTGACCAGAACTTTAACCAGAAAGGCAGAGAACTGGATACACACTTCTACTGCGGGATGGCACTTACCTAGAGTAATGAATGCATGAGCTCTGACCACTGGAGGCATGGCTGATCCTCTGAATTGGGACAGTGGCTGAGAAGCTGGAATTTCCTCACCATCTGGACAACTAGACACTAGGAAAGAACAGGTCAGGAATGAAAACACGCTTTTCCCGTCCACAGCGTTGTCTGTAAACACAAAACTAAAGGCAGTAAGAAGAGTGCCTCACATTGGTCCTCGTTGACAGAAGAAGCCAGAATGGACTGAATCAGAAGAAAGATGCGTTTCTCCACTTTGGCTGGACACAGCTGTGCAGCCTCACCCAAGATGAAGAGGTGTCTCACCTACAGAGAAAAAGCAACACTGCCGTCAAAAGGCAACAGCTGAGCTGCAAATTAAGTCAGCAGGAGTCAGTAGGCTACTTCTCCAAAACCAACTTAAAATTCCCTCAGTCCTTTCAAGAAGACAGTGACTAGAGAACAGAAGGTGAAGCTTTGAAACAGAAATGGTGTGTATGTGTTTGATATAATATAAACCCCGCACATCTACGGATAATATTGAAATACTCCTTAGAGGATTCTATGCATTTTACAGACTTATTTCCCAAACAGCTCATCTAAGAAGCATGAGAGGAAAAGCAAGGAAAAAACGTGTCATTTTATTGAAAACATATGGAGTATCATATCCTTAAAGCAATTGATTATGTATAAAACTGTTGTATGCTCCCAGGCCCATAAATACCAGATTTCATTACCAGCTTACACACAAGGTGTGCACATCAGCATCCTCCTATGTATCCTCCTCCTCCTCTCTAAGGAACACCAATTTCAAGTACACCTACATCCTTTGACCGATCTGTGAAGGGGAACCAACTTACCAAGAGATCTTCTTGCAGCTGCTCTGCTCCATCCTCTTTGAGGACTACATTCGAAATATAGCTTTCGCAGGTGGATACTAAATCTCCACACACCTGGTTGAGCAGCTCCTGTTCCATAATTAAACAAAATTAATTCAGCACTTAATTAATTAAACAAAACGGAGCTGTGATATCTGTCCACACATGAATCCCTGATCTGAAAGTCCTTATATGCTTTTAATAATCTAGGTCCTATTGAAATCAATCAGTGACTCAGAGCTTTAAAATTCTCCCTGCACATCAAAGGATGCGTGCAAGTGTCAAAACACCTTGGAGAACCTGGCTTTTAATGATCCACAGGCCTAAGTTTACCTCATTATAGAAATCACACAGATTTAAACAAAAAGGATTTAGGTGACTGTTTCATGTATATCCAATACATTTGAGGTTGTCTGTGTGTATTTCTAAATGTTGTTTGGAAAACGCAGTTCCATTCAAATGAAAACACGATGTGAATTCCAAGGGGTAGAGGAGAAACAAAAAAGCTAATAATCTACCAGATTGTGATCAAAGTAAAGCATCATTTCTCTTTTTCTGCCATCTAAAACTGGTAACATAAGAAACCAAGTACATATATGTGCGGCAGCTAAGCTGTCAGAACTGCTAAAGTGACCAATGTACAGGAACATCTGTATTTGATTGTAAGCCAACATCCTGTGATGACTATACCTATAAGGGAGGATTTTCTGACTGTCAGTTTGAAAAAAACAGAAACCAGCAATCCACCCTGGCTTCTGAAGCACAGAGTGTGCAGTTTTGCGTACTATTTAGTAAACTTAATGGGGATGCCTATTATAAAATAGTTGTCATCAATACTGAAAGAGAAATGTAACACACACACACACACAAATAAATCATCAGCAAGAGAGACCTGCATCAGTTTTATCTTCCTTGTGACTGTGCTCAGGCTGAGTCTCTATTTTACTGGCAAAAGATAGCCCACTTTCACTACAGGAGTGGAACAAAGCGATGGCATAAAACAAACAGAAGCAGAAAAGAGAAATGTGCAAATGATGTGTTATTAACTCCCCATTTGGTCCCAAGAAAGAGGTCTAGAAAATATGTGTATCTACAGGAGCTCTGACACAGAATAATCAAAGCTTATAGCATAAATCTATAGCTTTGAACTGGACCACGCCTGAGAAACAGCCGATATCATAAGGCACAGCAATAGGTCTTCTTTAGGAATTCTGTAAACTTTGACAGAAGGCAAACACAAGGTATTTCAGGTGGGGGGTGGGTGGTGGTAGGGAAAACCTTCTGAAGAAAGAAGGTTTCTCCCAAGTCCATCCTTAGCTACAGAATGTTCTCCAGCCCAACCGCAGTAAAGCGAGTAAGAGAGCTGAGCATGAGTTGCTGGAGTCAGATCCTCTTTGTTCCGAGAGCTAATCAACTGACAGACTGGAGACTGAAGCTCCCTTCAAGAGACAGCCCTCCTAAGTGTTAAACAAGCTATTTTGAAAGATATATTTTAAGTCACACCTGTGCCTCCTCCGGCACATCTGCATACGCATGGCAGAGCTTCTGCAGAGTTTCTACAGCTGGGCTAATCACCTCCAAGGGACACTGAGACTCCCTCAGCCAGCACTTGATATTATCTGAAAACCAGATCACACACATAAAATGAGCATTTTCTAAGCTTATCAACTGCTTACAGGGAAATAACTGTTAAGATGGGAGGCATGAACCCTGCCTTCCCCTCTGCAGTTCCTCGGGGCCACTCACCAATCAGCCTCTCACAGGTGCTTTTCGGAAGGTGCTTTGCAACATGACCGATGACACACAGTATATGTCCTGAAGTATCAGTCCTCGTGTCCTGCTGCCTGAAAAGCAGCAGAACAGACAAACCAACATTAATGATAAGGAACAACACCAAATCGCAGCAGAAAAATCCTTTCATCTGGGATATGCATTATTAAGGCAGACCCGTCAAACCGAATGAGAACTCAAAAAGCTTAAGGTAAGAGTGGGTTACTGCACAAATCTGCAGGCCATGGCTTGCCTCCTAGCTGCAGGACCAATTGCCTGAATAAACAACTGTGATCTAAGCAGCTCACCAGCAATCTGCCTGTGGAAGGACAGAAAGTGCTCACTTGCTTTGGTCCTCCCCTTCGCCCCCATCTCTTTCTTGCAGAATGGAGGATGGAGTTCAAAGCACACACATACCTGCTGACATTGTCCCAGGATTCAATGATCTTGGAATAATCCAGCTTGGGTGAAGAACCTGCCACCTTAGAAAGCAACATCCAAGCAGGTACAGCATGCTCTGTTTCCACATGAGACATGATACTATTAATGAAAGTGGAGGTGAACTTATTCTGCCTGGACCACACATGAAAAGCTTTGCTCAAGTAACGGCTACAAGGAAGAAAGAAAAG